TTTGTGGTGAGTAGGTGAGTAATAGTACAATACTGTGTCACTGTCTTCAACACTTTGTGGTGAGTAGGTGAGTAATAGTACATTACTGTGTCACTGTATTCAACACTTTGTGGTGAGTAGGTGAGTAATAGTACAATACTGTGTCACTGTATTCAACACTTTGTGGTGAGTAGGTGAGTAATAGTACATTACTGTGTCACTGTATTCAACACTTTGTGGTGAGTAATAGTACAATACTGTGTTACTGTATTCAACACTTTGTGGTGAGTAATAGTACAATACTGTGTCACTGTATTCAACACTTTGTGGTGAGTAATAGTACAATACTGTATCACTGTATTCAACACTTTGTGGTGAGTAATAGTACAATACTGTGTCACTGTATTCAACACTTTGTGGTGAGTAGGTGAGTAATAGTACATTACTGTGTCACTGTATTCAACACTTTGTGGTGAGTAATAGTACAATACTGTGTTACTGTATTCAACACTTTGTGGTGAGTTATAGTACAGTGCTGTGTTACTGCATTTGACACTTTGTGGTGATTACTATTAGCTTCCCCCCCCCCCCCCCCCCCCACCTAGAAAAAGCCTTAGTTATAACACAACACATCCCTCAACATCCTTTCTCAGGAAAACTAAAAGGAAGAATATACAAGAGCTCAAGGCAAGAAAACAAAGATAAAAGTAAGAATTGGTACCTACCCAGTCGTTATAAAACAGCCTTTAGCATTCACCAGCAGGAAAAGCTCGTTGCAGGTTTTGGTGCTGTTGCCTGTGTAGAGGTAGTGTTCCAACGGTACTGGCCTCTTGGTGGTACTGACTACATAGATTTTCTTCTTCTTTGTTCGTCTATACAAAACATGGACAATAAACAACTGTTCAAATCACAGTAAATTATCGGATGGCTTCTAAAAAATTCTTCCCACAGATTTGTTCTTCTGCTTTGTTCGTCTATACAAAACATGGACAATAAACAACTGTTCAAATCACAGTAAATTATCGGATGGCTTCTAGAAAATTCTTCCCACATATTTTTTCTTCTTCTTTGTTTGTCTATACAGAACATGGACAATGAACAGCTGTTCAAATCACAGTAAATTATCTGATAGCTTCTGGAAAATTCTACCCACATATTTTTTCTTCTTCTTTGTTCGTCTATACAGAACATGGACAATAAACAACTGTTCAAACCACAGTAAATATCTAAATATTTAAAAAAATGTTTTTTCCGTTCTAAATGTAAATAATGCAGACACAAACTGTATATTGTACAATTTATTGCCTTAAATATTTCACTGTATCTTGTCAGGTGCATTACTGCAGAGTTAAATCAACATACAATGATGCACAAAATGACTCCTCTTGCTGAAATGCATAAACCACATTGTCAAGTTGCAGTACATCTATCAGTCAGAAATTCAAAATCGGTCACCTGATTACCATGGTAACTTCAAATTAATCACATGGTCTTTCTGTTTACATAACATAGGAGAGTAGAGTTTTACTGATACAGCCTTGATCACTTTTAGCAAACGTCTGTTCAGTGTGTGGTCAATAATCTCGAAAGCAAAATCTTTATCATGCAGTTGACAGCAACATACTCCTGGTCTGCAGGCGAGCGTTTTGATAAACAGTTAAACAATTATGGGCTATTCTTGAAGATTACAGGATAAGAAAACAATAACTGGACAACACCATGGACATGAACCACACTCTCAAAGCATAACGAGAACACAAAAGAAGGCATACATATCTGATATGTTTACAGTCAACAGAGGGGAGAAGCTGGGATGTGCTCTCCCCTCCCTTATTTAATTTATACACAGACATAATATCTAATTAAAAAAAAAAAAAAGTAAAGTTCCCTTTTCACGCCTTTCGGCGCATCGGGCATATGGGCAGAGTGTCCCATATTTTTACAGACCATCAGCACTCTGTGGGTAATATGGTCAGCATTACGCAGGCTGTCTTTACTTTCCCAGGACAGCCCATCCTGGTACCCATTTTAGGCTGGGTCGACCTGAAATAATAATATCTAATAAGGCAGGTTTAAGACCCAAGCAATGGTGTGAGTGTTGTTTGAGAAGTTCCGTTTTGCCCAAACAACGGTGTCATCATCGATCGTGTGTCCCTTACATTTTGCTTCGCACACACCTACCTCAATGGGCAGGCCCACAGTCTGAACACCCCCAAAATCGTCATTGTAGCTATGATATCGGATGGTCCGACCGTAGTTATATAGTTCGTTTGTTGTGGGGGAGTCCAGATAGGAGAAATCCATATAAATCACTCTTAGATTGATTCTTTTAGGCTTTTAGTGTCTATTTACATGTTAGGACACATTTTCTACGCCTATTTAAGATAAATTGTCTGACCGCTTCACCGTATACTTGAGCCATATTCTTACACCAACTGCCGTAGATAGGGACTGTATTTTTATACGTCACTTCTCTATGGTCCGTTCAAGTGAGCGAACGTATTGCCTTTTTGTAGCCACTTGACCGTTAAAAAGACAAGCTTCTTTATTCTCTTTATCCATTTATCATGGGTGAGTTTTCCTAAAAGGTTTGAATTAAATATTTGTGCTCAGTGCCTGTATGTGTCGGTAAGTAAGGTCAGCAGATTGATAATGCGAATCTGTTTGTCTACGATCACCTGCGAGGAAGGACGACAGATGCGATCCTGGTTGGAATGCACTTTCGGCTGAAAATTCTCGGTGAATTCTTCGAGCCGGCTTTCTAAACCTCTTCGGATCAATCAATTCACATATCTGGAGTGTATTTATGGTATTGTTAACTTTGTATGATTAGTTGTTATCTTTTATTCGGTCTCTGAACTTGTTGAGTCGCTGGACCGTTGGAAACGACAAGAAGCTTCGGGTCAGGCATGACGTCATATCCGCTGTTGCTAGGAGCTATCGTAACCACAACAAGCTTAGATTGTCGTAATGCTTTCGGAGCATATTTCCTTCGATCTTGGTTTTGTCTTCATCTCCTATACCTTATCTTTCCAACTAATGAAAAGGGTATATTTAGAGGGATGGGGAATGATAGAGATCTGTCTGGCTTTCGCTACAGGACTGAATTCAGAAACTATTCGAGTTAATGGAAACGTACGTACGACTCTAGTGCTCACTCTGGGAAACTGCACAGGTTCCAAGATGTAGGAAGTCAACCTTTATGGTTTGGACTAGCCTCAATTATATCTGAGCATGTGGAGGTGGTAAGGATATTGATTAACTAGGTGCGTTGGGTACGGTTCGCTCATGTGTGTTGCCTTGTGTTTTTCAGGATTTTTGAAGATCCAACAAGTGTCAGAGGCGTAACCGTACTCGTCCACCATCCAACAAGTGTCCGAGGCGTAATCGTACTCGTCCATCATTCAACAAGTGTCCGAGGCGTAATCGTACTCGTCCACCATTCAACAAGTGTCCAAGGCGTAATCGTACTCGTCCACCATTCAACAAGCCGCCGTGGCGTAGTTGTACTGTTCCACCAGCCAACTCCAGGGAAGCCACTGACGTGCGTTGTTCAACCATTACTGAATATGTGGACTGTGTGCAAAGTCTACATCTACCAACCTCTAGGGAGTTGATTGTCCTATAATCAATTCCAGACGATTATCATTGATGCGGAGATCTTCTGAGAAGTGAGACGTTGCTGAACTCCATCTTCTGGCACCCTGAGGAGCTGCAGGATCCAACCAGATAAGTCGAAGTAGCACCCTATAGCGGCTTGATTCCAGATGTGCCTTCATAATCTGTCTAGCAATGATGATTCCGGAAAGAGATGCAGCTTTGTAGAAAGACTTTTTATCTATCCTTTCTTCTTCGGAGGTTTGAACAATCATTCTAGTTCTTCGTGATACTTTTGACCTTTCTTGTTATGAAGCATTGAATACATTATAGTTTTAGTTCACAAGACTTTCTGTTCTTTGAAAGGTTTGCTGTTGGTGGATTAATTGTCATAGTCAGAAAGGTATTCACGTCTTGTCATATTCACTGTTGTATATATATTTGACTGTGTTACATTGTTTACCAGTCTGGGGGCAAATTAGTAATGAGGACGTCTGGCCGAGAGGTACCCAAGAGTTCATAGTAACCCTGTGGAGTCAGAGCTCGAGTCACCTCATTCCTGAGACAGGTTGAATGGAAAGTTTGAACCGAGGGTTAGGCCTCTAGACGAACGAGAGCCACCATTCAAAACACCCCTGTCTCAGAGCACCTGAGGGATTTGCGAAAATATTCCGTAAGTAAAGGTGCGCGACAAAACTGCCATACGACACCGTTAACTACTTTCTAATGTTCGGAGGTACGATTAAACTATTCAGGGAAAGTCACTCTGCCGAAATCCTTTTAGTTTAATTTCTCAGCCTAATCCACACATGCAGAATTTGATAGAAATAACAGTGACATTTTTTTCAACAGTGAATTTTCTAAGTTCGTTTTCAAGTGCCATGAATACCAATGTTCCAACCACAAGTACAGGTTGCAGAATGTGTCTTTTTGCAGCCGAAAGTTTTGAAATTGTTTCAGTCAGATATTTTTAATTGTGATAATGATAATGAAAATTTAGATTTTTCAGACAGTGATTCGGATGGTGAATTTTTACCAGCGAAGCTGAGCGATCAGCTGTTTGGAATCTAGCGATTCTGATGAGTTTATTACACAATGTCCCATACTACTGTATTTATGGTGGAAGAGAAGGAAAGTGCTCTAAAGAAATAGATTGTACTATACTATGGCTAGGCTACATTGAAAACATCGCAGCTACAGTCTGTAAATAACTGTACAAAGTAAATAGTAAATAGTATGTGTATAATGGCTCATTTTTCTGCCATTTTTTCTCTGAAATTTTGCTTAGCACTCTGTGAGAAATAAGAGCCCCTGAGTGCTAAGCTAACCCAGAAAGTTATCATAACTTTGGAATATGTTAGGAAACTGAACAAACTTTGAAGTTTTGTTCTCAAATTTGGATATTTACTATACTTGTGGCTGTAAAACCATGGTAAGTGAAGAATTTTTTTGTGAAATGTTGTCCTTGTGAAATTAACACCTGCTGAATTCTTCTTTCCTACTAACTATAACAAAATTAAACAAACACTTATCACCAGATTCAAAATGTACATTCATTTCTCTTTTTAAAAAACATTTTTATAGGGATTAGAAGTATATTACATTCTCTATAGCCTTTCTTGTACACCCACCCCTCTCCATTTTTGTAAAGGGAAATTAATGTAGGCCAAGTCTGTCAAAATCCATGGGAGTGAAAGAGTTAAAGCAGTCATCCCAGAAAATGAGAAACTTTATTTTATGGACAGAATTTGCCTCAAAACACGGTATTGGCACCACAGATTACATAAATTTATATCAATCAACAAAGGTCAAATAACAAACACAGCAATTATAAATGGACAATAATGCTGTGTCTAGAATACAACAAATAATTAAGAAAGAGATTTGACTGGTCAGTTCCACTGTGTTACACGTAATTCACATAAATAAACAGATTGGGAACACCTGAGGCCACAGAAATATTATATATAATAAACATACAGATAATGAGTGCCAATCAATATACACTGTCTGTTTATTAAATATAATGTCATTGCGCTTAACAACCAAACTGGAAATGGATGTTGATGATGGTGATGATAATGAATTAAAAAAAACACAGAGTGAAGCATTACATGGAAAACATGCCCCAGACCCTATAAAACAACATGTGTCAGGTGACTGATGCCATGACCTTGTGACCTCTATCATTGAGGCCTACAGATAAATGTGATGCCAACCTGGCTTTAAAATAGCATTTGGCTCCCAACAGAACACCCATAAATACTATTTTTAGCTAATATGTTCAAATCCTGACCTCCTTAATGTTCCACAGATGTTGGGTTGAGTTCAGCTGATTCAAGAACCGACATTACAGCCCTTGGGGTGTTCCCATTAGTGCTCCATCCAAATCTTCAGCAGCCAGCACAAAGTTAGAATACCAATGTCGCTAGTAGCATTCTGATTATACGTCTGTCTTGCCTTTCCTCTGAGTGTTGAGTATTGACCAAAGTCCCCTCGTCACTCCTTACTGCATCACTCTTGCCAGACTGTGGTGATCCATTTGCTCCTCCGAATTGTACACATTCTCCCACAAGGCCCTAACACTGTCTGCCTTATCATGCATCAGTATTCCATCAAGTTGTGCTGAGCCAGCCAGTCTGTCTGTCTACTCATTTCCCAACACACCAGCAAACCCGGAGAAAAGATCTAGATAATGCTCCACAACCGTGGCCTCTAAAATGAAGCATGCCATTCTGCAAGAAGCATGCCTGTCCTTGCCTTCCTCTGCATGCATTATGACTCAGTTATAATCATGATATGTGTGTGCGTGTGTGTGCATGAGTGTGTGACGTGTGAATTCAGCCAATAGCATTTTGTAAACATTTCACTGTAGAGAATTCATAAAAGTTACATTGACTAGACCCAACCAGAAGTGTCAGTTTTGTGGCATCTCACAGCGACAAGGTTAATGTGCATTAGAATTAGTTTAATTTTTGTGCCAGGACAGTCTGGAATAAGAGGAATTAAGCGAGCAGATTGGCTTGCTGGAAGGGCCATGATAGGCATAGGAAAAGCAATGGACCAGGCCAACATTCTCAATGTTCTCAAGGAGGTAGGACGAGAAGATGATTCAGCAGACAACGTTGAATCAGCAACACTTAAAAGACTACATATTTCTTCAGGTCAAAAGAGATGTCACCCAACATGAATACTATACTGGTAGCCAAAGAAGAATAGTAAACCAAAACCGAACTGGAGGTCTCAGTAGCCACACACTGAAGATGGGATCTGAACACTTATGGGCTTGTCCGATGTGCAATGACGATAATCTGTTAATTAACTAAATAACTAACTAGTATTAGTTTCCTGAAAGGACACTAACTGTAGTTTTGAAGCCATGCTTCCCCGTGTGGATTCCGGGGCCCTTTATAGGGAAAACAAGAATAGACCCACTGCCTACCCAAAAGCATGTCGTAAGAGTCGACTAATTGGAAGCTTGTTTCAAAGTCAGAGTGCATCTGCCTGAGAGGCAAGGAACCAGCAGTTTGAATACAAATGAGTCAGATCTGTAAAACGGATGCACACGCAACACTCAGGTTCTGGAACAGGACTACAGTCCAGAAGTGGATGAACAACCAGAACTTTCTGCCAGAGTTTACAGCTGGTGAACGCAAAGAAGAAGAAGAAGAAGAAGAAGAAGAAGAAGAAGAAGAAGAAGAAGAAGAAGAAGAACCCATGCCTTAACAGGAATCTCTTTAGTAATGCAGTCAAAGCTAGGATAACTAAACTGCAAAAATCTAGTGAATGTCAACCAGCAGACAAACACACACAGACAAGGACTCACCCAACCCAGTCAGCAAACTCCATCGTGTTTGGAACTGTGGCACTCAACAAGATGACACTGACATGGTCAGGCAGCATGATGAGAACTTCCTCCCACACAACGCCTCTCTCGGAGTCATTGATGTAGTGAACCTCATCGAATATGACCCACTCCAGGTCACGGATGATGTCTGAGCCGTTGTACAACATAGACCTATGAACGTAGCAATGTTCCTATATTTACAATACACGGAATGACGTATGAACGTAGCAATGTTCCTTTATATGCAATACATGGAATGACATATGAACGTAGCAATGTTCCTATATATGCAATACATGGAATGACCTATGAACGTAGCAATGATCCTACAGATACAATACATGGAATGATAATACTTTTACTTTTAAAATGTGGGTGACTACAAGCAGAAACAGTTCAGATAAATAGGAAAAAGGGAGGGGGTGAGGTGGGGGTAAGGGGAAGATTAGCCTGTTACTCTTGAAGTCATCATCATCATGTAGCAGGTCCTTTGCAGAACATCGCTCTCATCACGGTCTGCCTGAAAGAAACTCAGTCTCTTGCCAGCTCTCCCGCCTCATGTACTTTCATACTCAAGGAGTCACTTATATCCTGTGCCCATCTTCGTGTTTGTCGGCCCCTGCCACTTCTTCCTGGTACCATGCCTTCTGCTATATTTTTTTCCAATCCATCATGGCGCCTGATATGACCAAAATATTTCAGCTTCCGGGACAGAATGCTGTTTATTAGCCAATATTCCTTGATGTTCAGATCTTTTAAGATGTCAATATTTCTACTTTTCTTTGTCCAAGATATTCTGGGAATCATTCTATAGCATTTCCCCCCAAAAGCCCTATTCCCTACTCTTGAAGTATCTTGTAATAATTTTGTGACATACCCTGTCTGCCTGTTAAGTGAGTTTAGACATGCTTGTGGTCTGTATCGAGCTGTATTCACTGCACACAGATACATGCGTGAGTGCTGGAGTCTTCTGTAGATCTCACAAGGAGGTTCTCTGAACAGTGCACTAACTCAGCATTAGGTGAAGACAGGGATGCTGCGAGCAGAGTGGCGAGCTTGTCTGGAAAGGTCACGGGTAGTGAGGATACTTATGATATTTTCTCCAGGCCATGCCGGCGTGGTGGGTAATGAACAGGCAGACATACTGGCTGGATCCGCACCACTGGGTGGTGAATTGATACATGCCAAGGCAGATGTGGTCAAGGCATTTTGGGAACAAGCAACGGAATCAGTAGAGAAACAAGATTATTATGGCCTGGAGAGAATGAGGCACCTGGGTGTAACTAGAGGGTCTGGCTTGCTCACTACACTCAGAGGAAAGGCAAGACGGACAAATAACCAGATTGTGACCGGTATAATTAGTATTGGAACTCTGCGCTGGCTGCTGAAAATAATCTAACATGGTTGCAGCTTCCCAATACTATCTTTTCTGATTGTCCCCCGTGTAGGTTCCAGGGCCCTATTATAGGAAAAACAAGAATAGACCCACTGCCTACCCAGAAGCATGTCGTAAGAGTCGACTAACTGGGAGCTTCCTTCGAAGTCGAAGTGCATCTGCCTGAGAGGCAAGGAACCAACAGTCTGCACACAGACGTCAAATCTGTCAAACGGATGCACATGCAACACTCAGGTTCTGGAACAGGACTGCAATCCAGAAGTGGACGGACAACCAGAACTTTCCACCAGAGTTTACAGCTGGTGAATGCAAAGAAGATGAAAGATTTCTGATTGTGTACCTTTTAACTACATTAAGAATTTATTGTAAGGATTTTAGATCTATTTTCTGAAATTACATAAACTCTGCTTGACAGTGTTTTGCCATGGCATGGAGGGGTGTCAGCACTGAGCTGATGAATGCTGCTGGAGATTGCAGGTTATGGAGATGCCTGATCACCCCTGCCAGCTGGCAAGACAATTTGATGATGATGATGAACTGACTGTAGCAGCATACATTTGTTGAGAATTTGTGGAGAAGAGTGTTGAACAGTAAATGTGTGTGTCTGTGTGTGCACGGGTGCACACATACGTGCGTGTCTGTGTTTTTTAACTAATAAGTGCTAAGGAGGAACATATATGAGGGGGAATATGGTGTGTTTACAATCATTATCTACACATGACAGCATCGGCTGTGGGACAATGAGCATCCACTTGGTATGATCAAGTGTGCTTTGCTTTAATTTTACAAATCAATCAGTCAACTATGCTTTAATTTTACAAATCAATCAGTCAACTATGCTTTAATTTTACAAATCAATCAGTTAACTATGCTTTAATTTTACAAATCAATCAGTTAACTATGCTTTAATTTTACAAATCAATCAGTCAACTATGCTTTTATTTTACAAATCAATCAGTCAACTATGCTTTAATTTTACAAATCAATCAGTCAACTATGCTTTAATTTTACAAATCAATCAGACAACTATGCTTTAATTTTACAAATCAATCAGTTAACTATGCTTTAATTTTACAAATCAATCAGTTAACTATGCTTTAATTTTACAAATCAATCAGTCAACTATGCTTTTATTTTACAAATCAATCAGTCAACTATGCTTTAATTTTACTAATCAATCAGTCAACTATGCTTTAATTTTACAAATCAATCAGTTAACTATGCTTAAATTTTACAAATCAATCAGTCATCTATCCTTTAATTTTACAAATCAATCAGTCAACTATGCTTTAATTTTACAAATCAATCAGTCAACTATGCTTTAATTTTACAAATCAATCAGTTAACTATGCTTTAATTTTACAAATCAATCAGACAACTATGCTTTAATTTTACAAATCAATCAGTCAACTATGCTTTAATTTTACAAATCAATCAGTCAACTATGCTTTAATTTTTCAAATCAATCAGTCAACTATGCTTTAATTTTACAAATCAATCAGTCATCTATGCTTTAATTTTACAAATCAGTCAGTCAACTATGCTTTAATTTTACAAATCAATCAGTCAACTATGCTTTAATTTTACAAATCAATCAGACAACTATGCTTTAATTTTACAAATCAATCAGTCAACTATGCTTTAATTTTACAAATCAATCAGTCAACTATGCTTTAATTTTACAAATCAATCAGTCAACTATGCTTTAATTTTACAAATCAATCACTCATCTATGCTTTAATTTTACAAATCAGTCAGTCAACTATGCTTTAATTTTACAAATCAATCAGTCAACTATGCTTTAATTTTACAAATCAATCAGTCAACTATGCGAGTGATGTGGATTCACTGCCACCAAAGTCCTCTATCCTTCCCATTTCTCTGAGGGCATTAATAATATCAGCATGATCCATAGGTTGACAGCGGTAGGGATAGCGGATACAGCCAACCTGTCAGCTCTTTCATTTCCATCGATGCCTGTGTACCCCGGAACAAAAATAAAGGTGACTCCACGCACAGTGGACTTCTGTAATGATTCAAGCTATTTTCTTCGCACTGAACCTGCCTGAACCCTCCGGATCATACTCATTGAATCACTGAGTATACATACGCGGGTGTATTTTTGTGTTTCAAGCCAGGCAAACGCTTGCGTCACTGCCATCACCTCCATCGTCATGCTGCTGGTTGGAGAAGGCGCCGTTGGCTTCTTTGACTGTTCTGCCCGCTGAGCGTGCTGTGAATGCCCTTGCGCTTCTTCTTTGGCGTATAACGGATCAGTCTGTATAGATTATGCATCTGCTTCATCTGAATTTTCACAGATGAGAGCGTTGACCTCTGCATTAACAGCAACAGGATTCTCTTCTCTACATCGCCTGTTGAGTGTGACAATACAGGAAAATGTACAAATAAATGCCTGAGGCACAGGTATCCATTCTGCACCAGGTATGATGTCGGTTAGGCTGCATATTTGCCTAATAACATCTTCTGCCTGACCTAGCCACGATTTTCCCCTCTTCAGTCTGTCGCCCTTTTCACTAAAAAGCGCTTGAGGGAGTGGGTGTTTTTTATCAGCACATATTTTAAGGTATGCCCGAGCCCTCCAGATCCTCATCCTTTGGTTCATAGTTGAAAAGTCAAGTAGACACCTCATTGCTCCATAGGATGCGTCTTTTGTACATCCCAAAATAATGTGCATGGCTTCATTTCGCACCTTTTCGAGTCGTTCAATCTGGGTAGCACTGACAGTGAGGATGGCCAGAGCGTATTCAATGGGGTAAAGGACCAGACCGTAGAAGTATAAGTAGTCTTTGCTCAATATTGGAAGCAGCCATAATCCTCATTGCAGATTTTGTTATCACATGGTCAACGTGTTCCCTGAATGACAAGCTGTGATCGAACCTCACCCCGAGAAACGTCATAACGTTGGTTCTGATCAATACATTATCACGCATTTTCACTTCTGGTAAGTCCGACTTGACAATGTGATTGTTCAAAGAGAACCATGACACTGATGCCTTCGAAGGATTGACATAGGCATTGAAACCATCACACCAGGCGGCAATTCGATCGAGTTCTTTGTGCATTGTGCTAGTGATCTCCTGTCTATCACACCCTCATCGATAAATCAAAATGTCATCAGCAAATGACAAAGTCCTTCCCTTTCCATTCAACTGCTGCTCAGTGATCATCACCGTATAAACGTTGAATAAGACTGGTGATAGCGGTGATCCCTGTGGCAAGCCTGGACATATCGTTTGCGATTCTGAGGACCAGCTACCACATCTTAGTACAATCTTTCTCTGGAACAGGACCGCAGCAATCCAGCGGATCAGAATAGGATTTACTTCTAGTTTAAGCAGTAATTGCATTAAATAATCATATGGTACTTTATTGTAGGCATCTTCTAAGTCCAACACTGCCGCACATGTCTCTTCTTTAATCTGAAATCCCTCGTACACATCGTAGGCGAAAACTGCAGCATTGAACCATGTCTCTTTATTCAACCTGTACCCTCCAAGTGTTGATGGGAACTTATCAAGTAGTTTCAAGTAGGTGGTCAATCTTTGAGCGACAATTTTTTCCAAAAGTTTGCCAACAGTATTCTGCATCGAGATGATTCTGTAGCCGCAGATCTTTGAGTGGTCTTTATTCGACTTTGGTAGTGGGAACAAATAACTATGGAGCCATTCCTCTTGTATCTGGCCACTCTGGATGCTGATATTGAATTCCTTTGCCACGCTTTTCAAATCAGCATTCGACATCATCAGCATGTCGTTGTATCGGATGCCGTCAGGGCCTGGAGCAGTGCTGCGCGATTTCTTGAGGCAAGTTCTTAAGGTATCTGCAGTGATTGTGAAATCAGTGCCTAGCACAGTGTTCTCGCACAGCATCGACAGTTTCATCTTAACCCCTATTCTTGCAGCTTCGTCTTTTTGGTCAGTTTGCTCCAAGTAGCGCGCAATAAGGGTTTTTCCTTTATCAGCATCAGTTCTCTGCCATATCAGGTCTGCACCCTGAAAAACAGGGATACCCCTTGGTCGTGCGAGGCCGTGCATGCTCCGTTGAAGGCGCCAGAATGTCACAAGAGATCCCTCGGAACAAACGCTCTTGCAGAGTTCGTTCCATTTCGCTGTCTTGGCTTCCTTCGCAATTAACTTGAAAGCCCCTGTCTGCTTGTTGACCTCATCTTTCAGACTGATCAGGCGTTCAGAAAGTGACGGATCAGTTTTCCTTGCTATTTGCCATGCCTTGACAGCTTTCCTTTTTTCTAGCCACGCCATGTTGACTACTTCATTCCACCATGGTGGCTGGGCCCATCTCTCCCGCCGTCTGCGATCTGCTCTTGTTTTACGTCGTCTGATTTTGCTAATGGCATCTTGCCCTGTACAGTCATATATAAAAGCAGGCACATTGATTACATGACCTTTGTTGTTGCCTTTCTCCACCAGCACGACGCAAGGAAAGTGATCACTGTCATGGTATCCCAGTGTGCTCCACCTGCATCCTGATGCAACGGAGGGAGACACTAGGGCCAGGTCAATTACGCTGTCAGAATCCCCTTGTCGGGTTGCCATTCGGGTGACCTTTCCGTCGTTCAAGCATACTAGATCGGCAGACACTAGGGCATCCTCCAGGTCTTTTCCCTGTTTATTGATGATTACATTGCCCCACTGGTTTCCTCTGGCGTTGAAATCTACGCAGTAAAGAACTTTCTTTTCTTCCGTCTGGAGCAAACTCTGCCATTTCGCTGTATCCACCTTTCCATTGCAGGCGTACACATTGACAATCACAAACTGGGCCAGGCCCAACACTCTGACTGCGTGTACTTGTAGGTCATCATTATCCCACTCAGACATGTCCACCTCAGACACCAGTATGTGGTCACGAACAAGAATGAGCTGTCCGAGGTGCCGTCTATTGTAGAAGGATTGGAAGCCCGCAATTTTAACGATCCTGTCACCGAGGTGTGTTTCCTGTATGACAACAATGTCGTTGCTGTAGAGGAGCTTCTCGAAAATGGGTCGGCGTTGACTGAACGAAGCGCAGTTCCAGTAGAGAACGCGAACATACTTTAAGCTGAGTCTCTCACATTTTAGTCGCTTCCTGCAGGCGCCACCGTGCTAGCCTGTTCGCGTTCTCCTTGTCCGTCTACGGGTTGTTTTGAATGGGTAAATAGTCGCCATCGGACGTTGAACACACACTGAGGGAAGTCTGAACTCACGTGCATGTACTCCATTGTACGGTTCAGACCCCATTCCGATGAAACTTTCACATTATAAGTGAGCAAAAATAGCTAATTTGCGCCATTCCCCTCAACGGACGAAAAAGCGTACCGCCATTGTGGCTGCTTACACCGAAAGTCCACTGTAAGGATTGTTACTTGTTAGCGATGCTACATTTACTGAACCCCTGTAAGGGTTGTTACTTGTTAGCGATGCTACATTTACTGATCCACTGTACGGGTTGTTACTTGTTAGCGATGCTACATTTACTGATCCACTGTAAGGATTGTTACTTGTTAGCGATGCTACATTTGCTGATCCACTGTATTGATTGTTACCTGTTAGCGATGCTACATTTGCTGATCCACTATAAGGATTGTTACTTGTTAGCGATGCTAAATTTGCTGATGGTACACATCAGATTTTAGTTTGCAATTTGCTTTTGACAAGATCAATGAAAATTCACATCCATGTGATATTACATACAAAGATGGATCTGTAAGTGAGAGGGAAAAATGGAGATGAGATTTTATTGCCAAGGAGGATGGAAGTTGTTTTTAAAAAAGCCTTTAGCATGAGAATGGAAGTGGAAGCAGTAACGGCAGCTTTCCGATGGCTGGAAAGTTGATAACTGTAACTGACTGGCATAGCCTGCTTAAAAGAAAAAAAAAGAAAGAAAAAACCTGCCGTCTTGTGCTCAGAGTGGCTAGCACTGCTTGGTAACACTCAGATCAGAAGTGTATCAACACAGAACAGGCATCATTAGTCGTTTTACACTTGTGGAGCTTTTGAGGAGGAGATCGGAGCACCTATGGATCTGTCCGGAGTGCTGTGATGATAATCCGTTCTAATCACTAATCACTAGGTTTGGTGCCACTTCAGTAACAATTCAGTGAGCCAGAACTCCACTAGCTTTGCCTTCAAAACAGAAAATACATCTCAAGTCATACGGCCAGGATCTGCTATCTAATATATGTGAGCCCCTACCTGAGGATCTCTGTAGTCATAATGAGGCAAGCTGCTGTCTGATTCAGCTGCACGTCCCCTGTGACTAGACCAACATCTCCAAACGTCTGTTTGAAATCTCGGAACTTCTGATTGGAAAGTGCTTTGATTGGGGAGGTGTAGATCGTCCTGGATTTGGCAAATAAAAATTTTAATGCTTCACTGTGTGGGCTATAAACACTTTTTTTTACACAAGCAGTATGGTAGACTAACAAGAATTTACGTCAGTTAGAGGAATGCGGAGAGGTTAGATAGATAAACTTATAGATAACAGAAATTCACACATAACATTAATTAGAAGAATGTGAAGATTACAGATAACTTTGTAAACTAAATAATTTGAGTTATAACAATGTGGAAAAAAACCATTAGCAAAATTAGTTAACACACTTCGATGTTCAGGAATTGTACTCACTTTGTCATATGATGTGCAGGAATTGTACTCACTTTGTCATATGATGTGCACGAATTGTACTCACTTTGTCATATGATGTGCAGGAATTGTACTCACTTTGTCATATGATGTGCAGGAACTGTACTCACTTTGTCACATGATGTGCAGGAATTGTACTCACTTTGTCATATGATGTGCAGGAATTGTACTCACTTTGTCATATGATGTGCAGGAATTGTACTCACTTTGTCATATGATGTGCAGGAATTGTACTTACGTTGTCATATGATGTTCATGAATTGTACTTACTTTGTCATTTTATGTGCAGGAATTGTACTCACTTTGTCATATGATGTTCAGGAATTGTACTCACTTTGTCATATGATGTTCAGGAATTGTATTCACTTTGTCATATGATGTGCAGGAATTGTACTCACTTTGTCATATGATGTTCAGGAATTGTACTCACTTTGTCATATGATGTTCAGGAATTGTACTCACTTTGTCATATGATGTTCAGGAATTGTACTCACTTTGTCATATGATGTTTAGGAATTGTACTCACTTTGTCATATGTTTGAGTGACAGTGCAATAGCATATTCAGCCACAACCGTCTTTCCTGCCGACGTATGGGCAGCCACAAAAACACTGTCATGACTTTCAAGTTTTAAAATGGCTTGTTTCTGGAAAATATCCAGCTCAAATGGCCACTGAAATAGGCAAACAAAGAAAGGATACACACATGGAATTAGACGGGGATGCAGACAAAGTTCTATAGTTTTACAGATCAATCAATGTTTGACTGAGTGATAACATGCAGACTGGCTTTATTGCCAGAATACTGTTAGGCAGTTATTATTCTAAGGCTGGGTTGACTGGAAGTGTGATGTCTTTGTATCATTCTATTTTCTTCTTTAATTATATATTTTTAGAGCACGCATTTTCCCTGTAGCAACATGTGTGAGCTGTGGACTATGAGTTTGAGTCAGACCTCATGCGAGCATTAAAATCACCATCAGATGCCTTGCTTTAGTTTTAAAAATCAATCAGTCTTCAGATTTAGCAATTGCTTTCACTGCATTATCCAGTTCCTCATAAAAAGAATCCTTTGCGTCCTCTGTTGACGTTAGAGTGGGTGCATATGCAGTAGCGAGGGTAATAAAACTGCTTGAGGTAGACAATCGTAGAGATAATATTCTGTCACTTCCTCCAGTTGGACTCTCAACTGATCCTAACAGTGAATTCTTTACTACAAATCCCACTCAATACATACATGCTGATTTCTACCTGGCCTCTGCCTTTCCAGGAAAATGTACAATTATTGTCTTTAATAGACCCATCCTCTGGCAGACGGGTTTCCCGTAGACCTGCATTATCTATGTCAAGTTTGTTGAGTTCGGCATCAATGATAGCTGTTTTTCTTACATAAATAATGTTTTCCAGGTCAGTGGAAAACCCGGGACACATGATCCTCACGTTCCAAGAGCCAAGTGAAAGTTTGGGGTTATGTTTCTTTTTATTGCCTGATTTTTACAGCTCACAGTTCAGATTTTGTCCTAGCTCCAAACACCCACTGAAGCATAGTAGCTGTGGCAGATCAACACTTTATTTGCTGGGGGCTGCCCAGCTTAAGGCGGGCAGTAGTTGATCAGTGAGATTCGAAGATGTCTCCCCTCGTCAGAGGTAACCCGTGGCGCCCGTGTCTATGCCAACTGACAAGGACTTATAACCCGTAACTGCTGCCTCTCAATTTGTTTCCCAGACCGATTAAGGCCAGGGTTGCCCTCTCCATAGCACAAAGCCGGGGCAGTATTGTAGAGACCATATGTTGCTCATGCATAATGATCCCTCCATCGACCTGCCTTGTTTACTCCAAAGGAAAGGTAAAACCAGTACGTTTGGAACGAGGCAGGTTGCAGAAGCTGCTGGATCAGAAGAGCAGTGCTCTATCTGTCCACCTGTCAGAGCTTCCCTCCTAGACCAGCTGCCAGCCAAGGCGAGGGCCTGGTCTGCCCTGCCATAACACAAAGTTTTCAGGTTGCATTTCCTCTTCCTAGGATAAGGCTAGTATCCTCCCCAATGCGCTCCTCCGCCCGAAGCCGTTGGGACAATACGGGATGTAAGATTTGGTATACGCCGCCCAACATTTGGCATAACAGAAGACAGATGCTACCAGCTACTGTTATACGGTAGCTCAGTCAAATCTGATCAAGACCTGACCTGAACAAAGAAGGACAGAAACACTGAGATCCTAAAAGATCTGAACATCAAGGAAGATTGGCTAGTAAACAACATCTTGTCTCAGAAACTGACATATGGAAGGAATAACAGCAGAAGACATGCTGCCATGTAAGAGGCCGACCAGCATGAAGACGGGCACAGGATATCAGAGATACCTTGGGCAGGAAAGTGTAACACGTGGGAGAGATTGAGTTTCTTTAGGCAAGCTGTGATGAGAGTAAAGTTCTGTAAAGGACCTGCCACCTGATGATGATGATGTTGATGATGATGATAATATAGCTTAAGGTCTTGGGTTTCAATCTATCAAAATGGCACCTCACTGACTAAGTACTTCACTAATGGTGACCATTTTGAGCAGTTTGCCAGTCAAAGGTAACATATTTATCCTTAATGTTTGTATAAATTTAGTATAACATTTGTATAGTTTTTGCTTTTATTGAAGTAAGTATACACTTTTTTTTATGTGTGGATTATGCATGTGCAATACAACTGATTCCCTACTGAATCCCAACAAAGCAAACGAAATATAAACTACATTTCCACATCAATCACACAACACAAACAAACACAAAATCCCTCTTCAAAATTAGTCAACTAACATAACATAACACTTGACCCGTTAGGGTCGTGGAGGTTTATCGATGGAAGCACTAACATATAAAACCTGCCATCTTTGTCTGTCTTCTGCTTGATAACACAGTCCTGTCAGTTTCTTGATAATGTCATTCCAATTTCTTTGTTGCACTCCTCTTCTTTTACTAACTCCCAATGTTCTTTGAAGCACAGTATTTGCAATCAAATTATGTCTCAACACATGTTCAAACCAAGCTAGCTTGATATTTTTCCCCATTGCCAAGAGAGGCTCCTGTTGTCTTGCAATTCTGTATATTTTGATATATTTGTTAGTTTTTGTTTTCTAAATAACTAATTTGCAAAATGTGTCTATAACATTTACATTAGAAAGCCAAAATCCTCATTTCCATTTCCACAGTGAGAGTCCAACGCTCACACCCACATAAGAAAATAGACAATACCAGTGATTTGTACATAGTGACCTTAACTGCAATACTGATTTTGCTCTTCTTCATCCTATTCAACTGGGTCATCGGGGCAGTTGCTGTATCTTGTATCAAGTCTTATGCTGATCTCTTTGGTACAGCTGCCACCGTTACATATAAGGCAGCCAAGGTATTTAAAGGTTTCAACTTCTAGTTTTTTCTTTTATCTGTATGCTGGTAGGTACTTGATTATTACGCCTATTTACCAGAATCTTGCTTTTCTCTGCATTAATTTCTATGCCATATTTACCACAGACTGTCTCTAATTTTATTATTCAACTTAAGGTAAACATAACATGACAGATAGTATAACTGTAACATGACTCAGTTTATCAGAAAATTATGTTGCCAACTACCCTGGCTACAATTATAACACAACTATGAACTGCTGCTCATAAAAATTAACAAATGAACCCAGAAAACCTGAACAGCTGTAAAGATCAAAGATAAATATGGCTTTCCAGTGACAATGTCTACGCTGGCACATGAGAACTTCAGCAGACAAAAAAGTAATGATATTTTCTTCTTCTGCGTTCACCCTTTACAGGGTAGTTGGCCTGCTGTGTGTAATTTACAGCTAGGCTGCAATATGTGTGCCTTTTAGTTCAACATATCTGGTTTAAAAAATCATGTGCTTTTTTATGATATGCTTGTTACTGGGCAGTATATCTATTAATTTTTTATTTTTTTTTTTTGCATTAAAATAAAATTTTAAAAAAGGAATCCAGTACTCAGACACAGATTAAATAAATCATAAATATTTGCCCAAACCTTGTATGCCATGTCAGGTATCCTTTTGTAGAAATCATGAACCGGAGAGCTGACATCTATATTCACTGCCCACTGCTCTTTTGCTGTTGTCTCCTTTTTTAATGGAGGTGACTCCTCAGGTTTTACTGTATCTTCAGGCTGCAGGAAAAGAGAAGGATAAATTTTATCAGCACAATATCCTTAAGATATTCATGGCAAAGTGGTTAAGCCATTTGCCTCATATTCTGAAGGTCACTGGTTAATTTTTGCCTACTGTTCTTAGGTTGTCAAGTATCTGTGTTGCAGTCTCCAATAGAGTTTCTTGTTTCGTGTCATGCTCTTAAAGAAACAGCAACTGTTGACAGAGACTAAGCCCTATGGGATAATCCTTGGCATTATATTGTTGACCCTACTGCCTTTCTTACTGTGAATAAGTAAATTATTTGATTTGATTTGATTCAAGAACCGACATCACAGCACTGGGGGCATTCTCATAAGTGCTCTATCCCCATCTTCAGCAGCCAGCGAAGAGTTCCGATACTAATGGTGCCAGTAGCATTCTGATTAAACGTCTGTCATGCCTTTCCTCTGAGCCTCAAGCATCTGCCAAAACCTCTCATCACTCCTGGCTGCATCAGTCTCACCACACTGTGGTGATCCATCTGCTCCTCAGAACTGTACACCCACTCCCACGAGGCACTAACCACGTCTGCCCTACCATGTAGCAGTATTCCACCAACTTGTGCAGGGCCAGATAGTCTGTCTGCCTGTTTATTTCCCAACACACCGGTGTGCCCCGGGGAAAATATCCAGACAATACTCCTCACCCGTGTCCTCCGCAGCGAAGCATGCCACTCTGCACGAAGCACACCTGTTCTGATCTTCCTTAGCATGCTTTCTGAATCAGTTACAATCACGATGTGTGTGTGTGTGTGTCGTGTTCTCTAGCCAGCGGAAAGCTGCAGTGACCGCCTCCACCTCCATTCTTAAGCTGGATGTTGTGGTATCATATGCTAGGCTCTTCTGCACCAAACGTCGACCATTAACTTGTGAATAAGTAAGAAATGTGGAAATTAGATGCCTGACAAGAGCTGCATGAGTGGCCAGCAGAGATCAAATCAGAAATGAGGTCATAAGAGAACTAGTCGGCACAGAACCAATTTTAAATTAACACAACAACAGCAAATCAAATGGTTTTCCAACTCAGAGAGAATGCCTTGTGACGGCATACCATACAAGGCATACACCAAAATATGAGAAGGATGTAGAGCTCAAGGTAGACCAAGAACAAGATGGCAAGATAAAATGAGAGAAACCATACAACAACATGATGTGTGTATGGTTGAGGTAGCCAGAAGAGCAAAAAGCAGAGCTTGTTATCTCCTTTGACACCCAAAACGTTAAAAGAAGAAGTGAACAAGAATTATGAGCATTACCAATTAAAGTAATTTTAATGCAGATACTATCCCCGTGGTAGTAAAAGCAGGATTTCACACTTATCATGTCAATGCATTGTGAGACAGGTTTCTGTCTTTAATAAAGAATCACATCCATTGTCAAAGATACCTTGGGCTAGATGGTTATTACCTTAGGCTACACGGTTATTACCTTAGGCTACATGGTTATTAACTTAGGCTACATGGTTTTTACCTTGGGCTACATGGTTAGTAACTTGAGCTATATGGTTATTAACTTGGACTACATGGTTATTAACTTGGACTAAATGCTTATTATTGGGCTACATGGTAATTAACTTAGGCTACATGGTTATTAACTTGGGCTACATGGTTATTAGCTTGGGCTACATGGTTATTAACTTGAGCTACATGGTTATTAACTTGGACTACATGGTTATTAACTTGCACTAAATGGTTTTTATTGGGCTACATGGTTATTAACTTAGGCTACATGGTTACAACTTGAGCTACATAGTTATTAACTTAGCTACATGGTTATTAACTTAGGCTACATAGTTATTACCTTGGGCTATGTGGTTATTACCTTAGGCTACATGGCTATTTACTTTGACTAAATGGTTATTACCTTAGGCTACATGGTTATTACCTTAAACTACATGGTTATTAACTTGGACTACATAGTTATTAACTTGGACTAAATGGTTATTATTGGGTTACATTAGGCTTAGGCTACATAGTTTTTACCTTGGGCTACAGGGCTATTAATGTGGGCTAATTGGTTATTACCTTGGGCTACATGGTTATTACCTTAGGCTACATGGTTATTACCTTGGCTAAATGGTTATTAACTTGGACTACATGGTTACTAACTTGGGCTAAATAGTTATTAACTTGGGCTAAATGGTTATTACCTTGGGCTACATGGTTATTAATTTGGGCTACATGGTTATTACCTTGGGCTTCATGCTTATTAACTTGGGCTACATGCTTATTACCTTGGACTAAATGGTTATTACCTTGGGCGACATGGTTATTAACTTGGGCTACATGGTTGTTACCTTGGGCTACATGGTTATTATCTTGGACTAAATGGTTATTAACTTGGGCTACATGGTTATTACCTTGGACTAAATGGTTATTACCTTGGACTAAATGGTTATTACCTTGGGCTAATAGATTATTACCTTGGGCTATATTCCCTTGGGTTACATGGTTATTAACTTAGGCTACATGGGTATTAACTTGGACTAGATGGTTATTAACTCAGGCTACATGGTTGTTAACTTGAGCTACATGGTTATTACTGTGGGCTACATAGTTATTACTGTGGACTACATAGTTATTACCTTGGGCTACATGGTTACTACTGTGGGCTACATGGTTATTACCGTGGGCTACATAGTTATTACCGTGGGCTACATAGTTATTACCATGGGCTACATAGTTATTACCATGGGCTACATAGTTATTACCGTGGGCTACATAGTTATTACCGTGGACTACATAGTTATTACCGTGGGCTACATAGTTATTACCATGGGCTACATAGTTATTACCATGGACTACATAGTTATTACCGTGGACTACATAGTTATTACCGTGGGCTACATAGTTATTACCGTGGACTACATAGTTATTACCGTGGGCTACATGGTTATTACTGTGGGCTACATGGTTATTACCTTGGGCTACATAATTGTTAACTTGGGCCTGACTCTTCATGTCCTGCACAGTGTAATTTATTTGACATTTTTCACAATGATTTCATCATAATATTTGGACAAAAATCTTGACTGTCACAAACTCTAACAGAGAGTAGTGAATACATACATCTTCAGTTGACATTTTCCATAGGAATGCGACCTGGCTTGCTGTTCAGATCAAAGCTACAATGCATAACGTGTCTGTGCAGTTCCATCCAATGTTATGGTTATGGGTCACCTCACAACTACCGTTCTTAAGGCAGCAAAAACCATGCAAAATGCTCATACTGTCCCGTGTGAAACAGACAGCCTTTTTGGTGAAACCAACAGCCAGCACATGCATTCACTGCATATTGCTGTGACCAGAGTTGGTAACACGAACAGTCTGCCACTATAATTTCAGTTCATCACTGAAGAAAGCAGCATTATAACAAAACAGCAGTTCCACTCACATTACTGCATAAGGCACACCTCCAGCTCAGTAGTATCCATTCAACCATCAGTTTCTGAATATACAGTTCATAGAAAAAAACCACCTTAGCCATAGAAGAAAAGCATTCCACATGGAGTCCCTAGCTCAGTGTCATAGTAAGCATTCAACTCAGTAGCTGGATGATGGAACTGTGTACTACAAGTCCAGATATGAGAAAAATGTGATCAGCAAACCAAGACTAGAATCCAAAAACTCTCAAAGATTTTAATGGACTGCCCAGGAAGTATGATTAGAGCTGGGGGAAAAAACTGTTTACCGCCTGTACTGAACTCCTGTGGTGTGCTACTGGACAGCTCAGAAGGGGGCCTCACGCCTGAGGATTTAGGCTGGCATGGCTACTACAACCACCAAGGACTGTGCAGGTTAGCATTTTATTATTTTTACCCAGGCAGCAAATAAGCCAACACCTTACCAAAGATTTGAACCTGGGTCTTTTGAATGAGAGTCTAGCATTCTTAATTACTTGGCCAGCCACTCCTTTAAGAGCATGTGACCGAAAAAAAAGGAAAAAAAAAGACTTTCCACAAACAAAGAAACACATTGAAATAAAAGAACATCCTATAGTTATTTATGGTGTCACGAGCCACATACCTGAACTAACTTTTCCAGACTCTCACTTCTAGGGAGCTCTGTTTTCTTGTTCTGTTTGTGGAATATAAAAGAAGGAAAAAGAAAGACAAATCTAAACTCCAGGCATCTACATTTACAAGTCATGGTCAGCAGATGAACATTTTGATTAGTAAGACAAGTTGATAACACTGTTGAACATTAAGTCCATTAATGGACACAGTTAGCAGTTAGTAAAGGTGACTCTCTTCTTACACATTTTATCTCTATCACAGCATCAGGAAATGCAAATAGTTCTGAAATAATCTCTGTTAATAGCCGTGTATACTGTATTTACTTGTAGTATGATTTTGGTTTTCTTTACCCATTCTGTGAAGCATGACCTTTAGGTCCACTCCTTCTTCACACTGCATTTAGAGGGGCATGTAAGACAGAATTCTTATACAAAATGATAAAAGCCATCAATCCAACTGTCAAACATTAGTTATTTTTATAGAAAGTACACGTAAATTAACAATTGAGATGGCAGAAATCTATCACTGTAAATTTATTTTAAAACATTTCACTTAAACTGTGTTATTAAAAAGATATTCTGCCCTTCTTTATATTTATAATATACTATATATCATAGGCATTTAAAAAAAATATAATTTTTGCATACATCTTGACTTTTTTTTTCTCCCAGAAAAGGATAACCCACTGCACCCTGACAGATAACCATTTTATGATGTCAGACCAACCCCAGGCTAACTCAACAATCAAGGTTATCTACAAACTGTCTACAACTCTTCTTCTCACTGTAAAGGCTGCTGTTTGTCCATCTGTCAATGTTATCTACTCTCTAACAGCTTGCTGTTTGTCCATCTGTCAATATTATCTACTCTCTAGCCACTGCTGTTTGTCAATCTGTCAATGTTACCTACTCTCTAACAGGCTGCTGTTTGTCCATATGTCAATGTTATCTACTCTCTAACAGACTGCTGTTGATCCATCTATCAATGTTATCTACTCTCTAAAAGGCTGCTGTTTGTCCATCTGTCAATGTTATCTACTCTCTGAAAGGCTGCTGTTTGTCCATCTGTCAATATTATCTACTCTCTAGCCACTGCTGTTTGTCAATCTGTCAATGTTACCTACTCTCTAACAGGCTGCTGTTTGTCCATCTGTCAATGTTATCTACTCTCTAAATGGCTGCTGTTTATCCATCTTTCAATGTTATCTTCTCCCTACTTGCCCATCTGTCAATGTTATCTACTCTCTCTCACAGGCTGCTGTTTGTCCATATGTCAATGTTATCTACTCTCTAACAGACTGCTGTTGATCCATCTGTCAATGTTATTACCTCTCTAACAGACTGCTGTTGGTCCATCTATCAATGTTATCTACTCTCTAACAGATTGCTGTTTGTCCATCTGTCAATGTTATCTACTCTCTAACAGGCTGCTGTTTGTCCATCTGTCAATGTTATCTACTCTCTAAAAGGCTGTTGTTGGTCTATCTGTCAATGTTATCTACTCTCTAAAAGGCTGCTGTTTGTCCATCTATCAATGTTATCTACTCTCTAACAGACTGCTGTTTGTCCATCTGTCAATGTTATCTACTCTCTAAAAGGCTGCTGTTTGTCCATCTGTCAATGTTATCTACTCTCTGAAAGGCTGCCGTTTGTCTATCTGTCAATGTTATCTACTCTCTAACAGGCTGCTGTTTGTCTATCTATCAATGTTATCTACTCTCTAACAGGCTGCTGTTTGTCTATCTATCAATGTTATCTACTCTCTAACAGGCTGCTGTTTGTCTATCTATCAATGTTATCTACTCTCTAACAGGCTGCTGTCTGTCCATCTGTCAATGTTATCTACTCTCTAACAGGCTGCTGTCTGTCCATCTGTCAATGTTATCTACTTTCTAAAAGACTGCTGTTTGTCCATCTGTCAATGTTATCTACTCTCTAAAAGGCTGTTGTTTGTTCACCTGTCAATGGTATCTACTCTCTAACAGACTGCTGTTGATCCATTTATCAATGTTATCTACTCTCTAAAAGGCTGCTGTCTGTCCATCTGTCAATGTTATCTACTCTCTAAAAGGCTGCTGTTTGTCCATCTATCAATGTTATCTACTCTCTAACAGACTGCTGTTTGTCCATCTGTCAATGTTATCTACTCTCTAAAAGGCTGCTGTTTGTCCATCTGTCAATGTTATCTAAAGGCTTTTGTCTCTGTCAATGATCTACTCTCTAACAGGCTGCTGTCTGTCCATCTGTCAAATGTTATCTACTCTCTAACAGACTGCTGTTTGTCTATCTGTCAATGTTATCTACTCTCTAAACAGGCTGCTGTTTGTCCCATCTGTCAATGATATCTACTCTCTAAAAGACTGCTGTTTGTCCATCTATCAATGTTATCTACTCTCTAAAAGGCTGCTGTCTGTCCATCTGTCAATGTTATCTACTCTCTAACAGGCTGCTGTCCATCTCCTCAATGTCCATCTGTCAATGTTATCTACTCTCTAACAGGCTGCTGTCTGTCCATCTGTCAATGTTATCTACTCTCTAAAAGGCTGCTGTTTGTCAATGTTATCTATCTGTCAATGTTATCTACTCTCTAAAAGGCTGCTGTCTGTCCATTTGTCAATGTTATCTACTCTCTAAAAGACTGCTGTTTGTCCATCTGTCAATGTTATCTACTCTCTAAAAGGCTGTTGTTTGTTCACCTGTCAATGGTATCTACTCTCTAACAGACTGCTGTTGATCCATCTATCAATGTTATCTACTCTCTAAAAGGCTGCTGTTTGTCCATCTGTCAATGCTATCTTTTCATTTGTATACATTTTTCTTGCCTGCAACATGTAACAGGGGAGTAACCATGGCATAGCGGCTAGATGCTCGCCTGCGGATCAGAAGGTCGTGGGTGTGCTCCCTGGCGGAGCCGCACTTTTTTCAAAAATGAACTTGGCTCTCAGGTTGAACCAGCGTTGAGTGGGTACCAGGTGCAGTCCTGGGAAGCAAAGGTGGCCAGAGTGATGCTGACCACAAGACCCATCTTGTGCCGTTGGTCTATAAAATATAGGTCTAGCCCTATATGCCCAATACGCCTGAAAGGAGCGAAACATGGTCCATTACTTGACTTGCAACACGTAAGATGCTTCCTCCAGTCCAGTGTTACATGACAGTCACATCTCCAAAATACCTGCTAGCAGAGTCAATGGCTTTTTATTCTGATAGCCCATGCCATGTGACACTGCTCGTCATGTCTGCCCATGAACTGACATAGTATTTTTTTTTCAAATTATACTCACAGTAGGTTGCTAATTCTTTGTGCCATAATTTGTGGGTTGTCCTGGCAAGTGTGCCTATACTGGCATCCCCCAAAACATTTCAGCACCCCAAAACTTTTCAGCAGCTCATAATTTGTATCCATCAATGAGTTGTATTCAGTTAGACAAATACTGTAAATTGTGGCTCACAAGTGGAGTTTTTAAGTCAAAAACTTCTTTCTAAAACTAGAGATTGATTTGTATGATAAATACTAGATGCATTAGGCAGGTATAGACCTAACTCTGAACTCTGAGCTAAAATATCTTGAGGTCGATTTGTACACCGCAAATTATGGTAATTAACTAAGCATCGCTGATGTGATGTTGACCATTTTACTTATCGAGGGCTGATGTCTATTTTTTTTAAATATCATATGCCCGATACATCTGCCATTTATATGGGCATTACTGGCATTTTTTACCATTTGTGCCATGTAGACAGGGAGGGTCTCTTAGCCTGAGGGTTTAGAGCTGCGTGGCTAGTATTGTCACCATGGACTGTGCAGGCTGAGACTTGATTTTTGTCTCCCACCCCCCCCCCCCCCCCCCACCACCCCCCGGTCAAAAAAATCCCTAACCTTACAGAGGCTTTGAACTTGGGTTGCCCATTTGAAAGCCTAGTATTCTAACCATACGGTCAGTTGCTCCTTCCCCATGCAAAGGGTTCTTAACTTTACTTAGAGAGCACTGAATCTGGGCCACTGAACCAGCACTGCAGTGAATTGTTAACTATATCAGCATCCTGCTAAATGAAACATTCACAGAAGTAAGCAGACAGAGTACACTATTTTCGGCAAAAGTTGTCACCGTACCTCTTCCTCCAGCCCAGCCTGCTGGTTGCACTTATCAACTGTCTCCTCATCCTCACTGGACTCCAGGTCAAGGTCATCCACCCCAGCCATGATATCAGCCAGGCTAATCAATGCTGGAGCAGAGCCAAGGTCAGGAACTTCAGAAACCACTTCCTGTATACTGCCTGTGGTGTTGCTGGGTGCGTGCACAACTGTCATCCCTGCCTGGAATCCGGGAGGGATAGAGAGATACTGGCTTGCTGAAACAGACCCCAAAAAAAAAACCCAACTGAAATCATTCTCATGTTAAGTTCTTCTAACGCACAGATATACAAAGCAATGCATTTCCGTTGTGAATCCGAACAAAGCAGATACAAACAACAGATTGCACAATTTATTAAAAAGTTTAAAAAAGTACAGGACCCTTTTCCCCGCCTTTAGGCATATAGGGCATAAAGGGCTTGACCTATATTTTTATAGAATCGGCACAAGATGGGTGATGTGGTCAGCATCACGCCGGCCGCCTTTACTTCCCAAGACTGCACCCGGTAACCACTCAAGGCTGGGTCGACCTGGGAGCCAAGGTCATTTTTGAAAAAAGTCAGGCTCTGCCAGGGAGCGAACCGACAACCTTCCGATCGCACAATTTATTGCCTAGCATATTTTGCTGTATCTTGTCAGGTGCATACTACAATAACAATTGATTAAAATGAAGCAAATAAATGAATCCTTTGAAGTGAAACACAAAATCGATTACAATCAAAAACTGTTTCACCAGGGTAAAAGCAGAGTAAAGAGCATGTCCTTTCATCTGCATAATTCTGGACTAAACCGGTTTATCACAGCTGCTTCCACAAATCTCAATAATCTACGTTCAGCTGAAGTGTAAATAATTTGAAATGCATCTTCCTCATTTACAGTGTGCCCAGAGTCCAAGCAATGGCTGATGTAGGACTCTTTATGAGTTAATTTCTTTCAAGACATTTCCATGAGGTTTTTAATCTGCCCACAGTGTTCTCATAATTCTTCTGTACAACGACATCTCTACAGCCTCCTCATCAATTCTTATTTAAAGATGACAAATAATACACATAAGCAATGAAAAGATTTACAAGTTTATGAAATGGCAAGTGACGGACACATGTGCAAACACAAAATGACAGGTAATGAACAGATCTACTAGTCAAATGTAATAGACAAATCTAAAAGTCAAAAATGACATAAACGAACAGATCTACAAGTCAAAGATGATACTAATGATGATCTACACATCAGAGATGATAAACTATAAAACTGACAAAGTAATGAACAAATTCTGTAATTCAAAATGACAAATAATCAACAGGTTCTTCTTCTTCGTCTTTTTCACTTCCTCTTTTACGGCTCTTAGTGTCGAGGGAGATTTAAGCATCTGCTTTCTGCTCTTCTGTTCAGGCCATAGACACACATCCCATTGTTGTAGAGTTTCCCCGATGTTAACTTTCCATCTTGTTCTTGGTCTACCTTGTTCGTTCTGTATCCTTCTCCTCTTTTGGTGTATGCTTTGTATGGTATGGCATCATAAGGCATCTAAAGTGGGCAAGCCACTTAATCTGCTGTCTTTGTATGTAATTAAAACTGGTTCTGTACCAATTTTTTTCTCTCATGACTTTGTTTCTGATTCCATCTCTTCTGGGAACTCCTACAGCCCTTCTTAAGCATGGCATTTCTATGGTTATTAATGTTATTTTATGGTCTGGTATGAGTGATCAGGCCTGGCACTGGTAGCATAAAGTGGGAATGTATATACTTTGTATGATATGTTTCTGTGTGCAGATTGAGATTGTCTTATGCTGTAAGACGCGGGCTAGTTGTCCTAATATTTTATTTCCTATGCTGCATCGAATGTTAATTTCCTCATCCATTTTCCCTATCTTCTGTGAATGTTATTTCCAGATATTGAAACTCAAATGTCCATTTAATGCCATTACACTCTACTGCTATATCTGGTATATGCATCAGCATTGCTTCTGTCTTTTCAGTGTTGATTCTCCTATTATTATTATTACAAACATGTTCTACAAATGAAAAAATAAAAATAGTGAGCAGGTCAAAGATGAAATGTAATGAACAGATCTACTTTGTGACAAGGACAACCAAACAAAAACAAAACCTGCAACACTCAGATTCGTACCATCATCCAGGTTCAGCGCTGGAGAAGATTTGCTTTCATTCTGTGATGCCTGCAGTAGATCATCAACATCCAACCCTCCTAAAAAGACATTTAAAAATGGCAACAATTTAAAATCTCACTCTCGTCATGTAGCAGGTCCTTTGTAGAATGTTGCATTCATTACGGTCAGCCTGAAAGAAACTGGTTCTCTCACCAGCTCTTCCACCTCGGAGATTTTCCTACCCAAGGTTTCACTTATATTCTGTGCCCATCTTCCTGTTGGTCGACCCCTGCCCCTAATTCCTGGCACCATGTCTTTTGCTATTATTTGTTCTAAACTGCTGTGGTGTTTGTTATGAGGAAAATATTTACATTTCTGAGATAAGATGTTGTTTACCAGCCAATCATCCCTAAATGTTAAGATCTTTAAGGATGTCATTATTTCTCTTCTTCTTTGTCCTTGGTATTCTCAGAATCTTTCAATAGCATTTCAGCTAAAAAGCTCCTATTATTTCCTTAAGGACTGTGATGAGATAGTCCATAAATCACATTTGTAATCTGCCACAGGGAAAATGGATGCTCTCAAAATTGTGACTTATTTCCTTGCTGGTGCTTAACCATAGACATTTAATGCTGTTTATTCTTTGTATTGCTATGGCCACCCTGCTTCTGACTTCTGTTGAACGGTCTCCATTTAGATTTATAATGGTGTCTAGATATTCAAAAGGTGTGACATCTTCAACATCTTTGTCATTTATTGTTATTTTTTTTAGTGACAGGTAGTTTTGTCAGTGGTCATTATTTTTTAAATCTTGTTCTGTCTTAATAAATCTGATATCAAACAATCGCTCTTCTTTGTCGTTCATCCAATATTTTTTGGTTTACAGCAGGGCTGCAATTTTTACTCCTCAAAGAACACAATTACTGTAAATTTTCTTATTTGCCACTAAATATTCTGAAAGAAAGATACTCTGCAAGATGCAAAGGTCATAAATAAGGGCACACAATAAACATATTTATTGAGAAAACCTCACAGCAGTACAGCTAGAATGTAATTGCAGTGGAACCTACTGGCTCAAGGGAAAATACGCATACCTTAAAAAACAATACAAAACAAAAAGAACAATTCCAGGAGAAGGGAATTAGTGTAAAGTGAAAAAAAAAAAAAAAAAAAACTAGGAAGACATGCTGTGAGCTGCATGTGATAGCAAGGATAATGAAGAACGACACTGAGTTGGTTGAGAGCATTTACTCTCAAAACAACACTCACAAACCAACAATTGCATACATTCTAAAAGACAGATTCATTTACAGCCTACAGTCTAGCCTCTGCTTCTGTATTCACTTGCTGTTGGCTGCAGCAGAAAGTCCTGGATGGTCATCTCTGTCTGGACTTATCATTATCCAAGACTTAAAATGTTGAATGTCAATCCATTCTTATTGACTTACTGTGTGCAGATTGTTGGTTCCTCGCCTCTCAGGCAGATGCACTCCAGCTTCAAATAAAACCATGATCATGTCTGTCGTCTAAGCTCCCGGTAGGAAATGTATGTAAGTCTTGACCAGCTGCAGCCTTGGTCTTGGTGCATTAGAGCAGGTGATGTAAGCCTTGACCAGCTGCAGCCTTGGTCTTGGTGCATTAGAGCAGGTGCTGTAAGTCTTGACCAGCTGCAGCCTTGGTCTTGGTGCATTAGAGCAGGTGCTGTAAGTCTCGACCAGCTGCAGCCTTGGTCTTGGTGCATTAGAGCAGGTGCTGTAAGTCTCGACCAGCTGCAGCCTTGGTCTTGGTTCATTAGAGCAGGTGCTGTAAGTCTCGACCAGCTGCAGCCTTGGTCTTGGTGCATTAGAGCAGGGGCTGTAAGTTGTGACCAGCTGCAGCCTTGGTCTTGGTGCATTAGAGCAGGTGCTGTAAGTTGTGACCGGCTGCAGCCTTGGTCTTGGTGCATTAGAGCAGGTGCTGTAAGTCTTGACCAGCTGCAGCCTTGGTCTTGGTGCATTAGAGCAGGTGCTGTAAGTCTCGACCAGCTGCAGCCTTGGTCTTGGTGCATTAGAGCAGGTGCTGTAAGTCTTGACCAGCTGCAGCCTTGGTCTTGGTTCATTAGAGCAGGTGCTGTAAGTCTCGACCAGCTGAGCCTTGGTCTTGGTGCATTAGAGCAGGGGCTGTAAGTCATGACCGGCTGCATCCTTGGTCTTGGTGCATTAGAGCAGGGGCTGTAAGTCATGACCGGCTGCATCCTTGGTCTTGGTGCATTAGAGTAGGGGCTGTAAGTCATGACCGGCTGCATCCTTGGTCTTGGTGCATTAGAGCAGGGGCTGTAAGTCATGACCGGCTGCATCCTTGGTCTTGGTGCATTAGAGCAGGTGCTGTAAGTTGTGACCGGCTGCAGCCTTGGTCTTGGTGCAATGGCGCAGGTGCTGGTGCACCTATGTATGAATCTGTTTAAGTTGTGTTTAAAAAAACATAATTCTTTAGTTCTGAAAATCAAAGTTAGCCGACTTTACCTGGCCAGAAAGGAAGGTTAATATTTGACCCACGCACATCTTGCTTGGACTTTGTACTGTGTAATTCTGGGGCTCGCCTCAAAGATAAAGAATTTCTGGAAGTTTCTGCGCTGTCTGGAATCAGTTCCTAACAGACCAAACATTAAAGTACATTTATGCAACACAACAATAAATAACAGTAAGGCTAGATAAATGGGTCTATGTGCCATAAATACTAGCAAAGCATAGTTGCTTCAACGTCTTTCCATAGAAGGTGAATAAGAAAAAAGGCAAGAAAGAAAGAAAGAAAGAAAGAAAGAAAGAAAGAAAGAAAGAAAGAAAGAAAGAAAGAAAGAAAGAAAGAAAGAAAGAAAGAAAGAAAGAAAGAAAGAAAGAAAGAAAGAAAGAAAGAAAGAAAGAAAGAAAGAAAGAAAGAAAGAAAGAAAGAAAGAAAGAAAGAAAGAAAGAAAGAAAGAAAGAAAAAAGAAAGAAAGAACATGTGACCTGACCTACAAACAAATGTCTAGTTTAAGGACTGACTACAAACTAGATTCCTTCCTTGAAGAAAATAAAAGACACTAGGTTTCTTTAGTGTCACCTCACTCTTCTTCTTCACATAAAACCAAACACATAACCTACAGCAGGGCGATTGAACTATGTATTCAGGGGCAAAAGTTTTGGAAATGGAGACTGTCATGGGTCACAGGACCGAGCCCCACTTTCTAAACCTCCGCAGGCCAGATTCGGCCAGTGGGCCACCAGTTGAATAGCCCTGACCTAAAGTGAGTGAATGCTGTGCAATACATTCTGTATACAGCAGAGACCGGCGAGCCTACTATTGCAGTAGATGGCAAACCTGCCTGCCAATTTGATAGTCAGAGGTTTGAATTTAAACTGAAGTTTGTTATAATTTACCTAGGCTCCGAAATGGACCTAGCGTAAAACTGGCACCAGAAAAATGTCCTTGGAAGTCAAAGTGACCAGTTAAAGTAAAGACCACATCACACACTAAACATCAATAAGTCTATTTTTTTTTAACTGGACTAGCATGATATTCCTGAATTCTTTACTTACAGCAGTATTTAGTACTACATAGACAAGGAAAAAAGGAGGCAGATGGAGACAGAAAGATCCTGGACAGTTTGAAATAAACTGTCCTCCAGACAATAATCTGTGTAGAACTGATTGTTGTCTGGACAGTTTATTTCAAACTGTCCAGACAACAATCTGTGTAGAACTGATTAAAAGTACATGAGACAGAAGGTTGCAGATGGACAGGACTTCCAACACCATACGACATGGACTAAGAATAGGTATTTAGTGTTTAAAAAAAATAGTGTATTCAATTAGACAATGTTTTTCAAAAACATAACGATATGGATCCCTGGAGGGGCTACAGAGTGTATAATATGTGTGAAAGCCTATTTGTATGATCTACACGAGAAGATTAGAGCATGTGTCATGTTATAAAAGAGCAGAATGAACCAAATCAAACCAGACAACTTCTTGTGCTGTTACCGACTAACTTCATAAACTATGTGCAGAATCAACCTGACATCAATACCTCTGTGTAACCTAAGAGTTGCCCGGTGGTGCGGTTTCTTTCAACTCTGATTGTGGTCTGAACTGGACATATGTCCACATGGAACAACTTTTCAATGTCAGGCTGTCGACTGATCTGTCTGAAAGAAAGAATATGTTGTTTAGCCATCACAAAAATACCTTAATGTAATCTATTTTCTTAATGTATTCACTGAGAGTTTTATCACCTCATAGTTTTGTAAAGTTACTATTTTAAAATGTTGAATGTTGAATTAAGAATCGACACCACAGCACTTGGGACACCCCCATAAGCGCTCTGTCCCCATCTTCAGCAGCAAGTGAAGAGTTAAAAAATTACAATGGTACCAGTAATTGTCTGATTGTATATCCGTCTCAACTTTCTCTTGAGTGTCGAGCGCCAGCCAGATCCCTTTGTAACTCCTCGCAGCGCCATTCTCCTCACACCATAATGATCTATCTGTTCCTTGGCACTGTTCACTCGCTCCGAAAGGGCCCTCACAACATCCAGCTTGTCATACATCAGATCACCACCTAGTGGTGCAGAGCCGGCCAGTCTATCCGCCAGCTCATTTCCCAACACACCGGCATCACTGGAGAAAATATCCAAAGGATGCTAACTACCTGGGACCCATGAAGTGATGCTTGCTACTCTGCACGAAGCATGCCTGTCTTCACCTTTCTCAACATGCTCAGTGAGTCAGTTACAATCACGGCATATGTGTACTCTATTTTAAATATAAATTCAGTCTATCTTATCTTATGGGTTTCCAAGCATATTCCAACCTAGTTATACTGCAAGACACCTAGCCACTCGCTAAGTAAACTGAAAATAGTAACCAAGCGAATGTGTTTCCTGGGACACACTTGTAATGGAAAAGTGACAAGTCTAGATGTTTGCTATACCATCACACAAAAATGACCTTGGCACTAATCAATGCAGCTTGGATGTGAAAGAATGTATGCATGTAACATTCCCTTATGTTGGCAGCATTTCATGACCTGGGCTCTATAGGAGTCCCAATGAATTTTAAATTCTAAAATTGTGTTCTTTTAATTTTCTTTATGTGTTTTTTATGATGGGGGTGAGGTTCTTTATTGGCATCATCTTCATGTGCCAGGCAGAAAAGCACAGACAAGTCATGGCTGTGATCTCTACAAATCAATAAGGTCTTAGATCAAGTCTATGTTCTTGTCCTGATTATGACAATGGTCAAGCTGGGAATTTATCTTGTCTTCCCCTTGTATCTTCATCACTTAGTTTCCATGTTTATTTCACATAACAACATGACCAGAAAATCCTGACAGCCTATATCTAATTTCTCTTATCAAATTAAAGCATTCATTTGTTTCTGGGAAAGTGTTTTTCAAGTGTCTGTTTCACATTTTATACTTCTTTTCTTAACAGGTCTAAAGCTGAAGGTGTTCCGTCCTTCCATCTTCAATAGTACCCTGTATATCACATACTTTTAAAAGCTAAGAAAGCTGAAAATGGTTTGGTCACGTAATGTATAGCTGGACTGCATTTATTGATATATTTGAATGAGTAAATTAAATATTTCAACCCTTTGTGTCTGGACTGTCTCAAAAAATTTAAAAACACAAACAAGTACAAAACAAAGCAAAGGAAATAACTAAATGCAAAAACCACAGACAATGGAAATAGCTCAATAAAAAACCCACAGACAATGGAAATAGCTCAATAAAAAAAACCCACATATGATGGAAATAGTTCCCCCAAAAAAACCACAGACAATGGAAATGGCTCAATTTTAAAAAAAACACAATGGAAATAGCTCAATAAAAAACCCACAGACAATGGACTTTAATCAATTACCTCTGACATGTGGTGAAATCATGGATGGGCAAGCTGCCAATGTCTGTGAGATACTTTTCCACTTCTTTCTCCCATGTTGGTATAACTGGTGGTATGCCAGCAGGTAGCTGGGGATTCAAATATCCTTATGCTGAAATTGTTTACATGGGTCTATTTACTGCTGTTCCCTGTGTGTTATCAGGGCACACGGGAAGCAAAGAAATGTCATGTGTAACCTGCTATTAGGGCAGAACCACTTGTTGCAAGTTGCTTGACAGCCTATGCTCCACTGGGGGAATAAATAAAAGAAATAGAACCTATGGTGTTTCCCTGAAAATAACTTGCAGTCTTATATTATTTTATGCTTTAAAAGAATACTTTGATTTTTTTTTTCTCCAGATACAAAAATCTAAATTTATTAATGTACACAATTTTACATTTATTCAAATAGAGTCATGTCATTTTCTTCTGGAACATCATCATAACGCTTCAAACCCCAAATTATGGCCAGAATTTCTTGTGGCAGCAATTCTTAAAACCAGTGGCCACAGTCTCTCAATTCCAGCAATTAAGATTTTCTCAAATGAGCAATTCTTGTCTATGTAGCAAGCTTGTAGTGCAATGGTAACACAGCTGTTTTTGATTTTATCCCATGAATTCTTCACCCAAGTCATGGCCTCCTGCAAACTAAGGCTTATTTTTGGGGTAGGGCTTATACTGAAAACATCCTGAAACAACAATAATCAGAGAAAACACAAGATAAACATATAATAAGAGCACAACTGACACATTTAGCATCGGATGTTTACAGGCTGCTGAAGATGAGGCGTAGCAGATATGAAAATGCTGTGATGTTATACATCTTAACTGTTAATGTAACGGCGGTTTGTTTGCTTGTTGTTCTGGGAGATGGCAAAACTTCCCAAGGTGCTGACATAATAATTTGTGTGTACATACAAGGATGCTTGGATTGGACTTGCAGACTGCCTACTAAACCTCCTGCCATCAATAAAAGGTTATGCAGGTTGGTCTGCAATAAAAATGACTTGTTTCAAAGGTGTCCAGGCTGAACTTAGTTATTGAAATATTGTGCAAATATAAGACATCTTCTATTGTAGATCCACAGCCCACCTCCAGGTCACTGTGCTCAAAACTTGTAGATTTACAGCCCACCTACAGATTACTATATCCCCTACTTGTAGATTCACAGCCCACCTCCAGGTTATTATATTTCCTACTTGTAGATTCAAAGCGCACCTCCAGGTTACTATATCCCCTACTTGTAGATTCACAGCCCACCTCCAGGTTACTATATCCCCTACTTGTAGATTCAAAGCCCACCTCTGGTTACTATGTCCCCTACTTGTAGATCCACAGCCCACCTCCAGGTTACTATATCCCCTACTTGTAGATTCAAAGCCCACCTCTGGTTACTATGTCCCCTACTTGTAGATCCACAGCCCACCTCCAGGTTACTATATCCCCTACTTGTAGATTCAAAGCCCACCTCCAGGTTACTATATCCCCTACTTGTAGATTCAAAGCCCACCTCCAGGTTACTATATCCCCTACTTGTAGATTCACAGCCCACCTCCAGGTTATTATATTCCCTACTTGTAGATTCAAAGCGCACCTCCAGGTTACTATGTCCCCTACTTGTAGATTCAAAGCCCACCTCCAGGTTACTATATCCCCTACTTGTAGATTCAAAGCCCACCTCTGGTTACTATGTCCCCTACTTGTAGATCCACAGTCCACCTCCAGGCTACTATGTCCCCTACTTGTAGATTCAAAGCCCACCTCTGGTTACTATGTCCCCTACTTGTAGATCCACAGTCCACCTCCAGGTTACTATATCCCCTACTTGTAGATTCAAAGCCCACCTCTGGTTACTATGTTCCCTACTTGTAGATCCACAGTCCACCTCAGGGTTACTATGTCCCCTACTTGTAGATTCAAAGCCCACCTCCAGGTTACTATGTCCCCTACTTAAAGATCCACAGTCCACCTCCAGGTTACTATGTCGGCTACTTGTAGATTCAAAGCCCACCTCAAGGTTATTGTCCCCTACTTGTAGATTCACAGCCCACCTCCAGGTTACTATGTCCCCTATTTGTAGATTCAAAGCCCACCTCCAGGTTACTATGTCCCCTACATGTAGATTCAAAGCCCACCTCCAGGTTGTTATATCCCCTACTTGTAGATTCTAAGCCCACCTCCAGGTTACTATATTCCCTACTTGTAGATTCACAGCCCACCTCCAGGTTACTATGTCCCCTATTTGTAGATTCAAAGCCCACCTCTAGGTTACTATATCCCCTATATGTAGATTCAAAGCCCATCTCCAGGTTGTTATATCCCCTACTTGTAGATTCTAAGCCCACCTCCAGGTTACTATATTCCCTACTTGTAGATTCACAGCCCACCTCAGGCCACTCAATTCCCTCTTGAAGAATCATAGAACCCCCCCCCCCCCCCCCCCCCCCTATAAATGTACAATAATTTATCAACAATCCTGGACATACAAGCTCACCGTCAGCTGAGGGAATCTAGCTGAAGATAAATTCTGCTGACTGATTTGCAGTGCTGGCACCAGCTCCAAATGTCCATTACTTCCAGTCTCAATGAGGTCAAAGACCTTATTTAATTCAGTTTTATCCTCAAGACATGTCATTTTCTCACATCTGCAAGAGAGTTCAACTGTCTCAATGAAAAATATATATTTTTATATGTTGCATATCAATTAGAGTAAAAACCAGTTAATGTTAAAAATATTATGGTAACAATTTAGTTTAAGCAACACCTCAGTTCAAAGATCATTTGCAAAAATCCAAGCTCAGTCATTTTAAAAAAATCAATGAGAGGAAAAACTATTTTTTTTTAAAATGGGTATTATTTATGACGTCACAATGACATCACGGAAGACATTCAAATAATTTTTAGGGTGGTAAGTTTGGGGGTGTGTTTTTTTCCTCATTTCAACAGCGTATCGCGAAAGCGTGCGCTTGACGCCTCTTAGGACATGTGTTTACCAGGCATCAGCAGTCTTTATCTTTGCCCCGTTTGGTTGCAGCAGTCTTCATCTTTATTTGCCGTTCATTCCAGCAGTCGCCATGAATTTTCTACAATAAGTAGCATCTGTGCAAGACAAGAAGACCTGCATTGCCTTCCTGCAACAGCATGACATTCTGCACAGAACGAGACTTTGCAGAAACAACCATCAGATGGTGTTATTGCTGTCGGAAAGACACGACCGCTGGCGGTGTTGAAAGTCCACTTGTCGTCTGGACATACCCTTACGCGGCGTGGATTGGGGCTAAACTAGATGGCTGGGACTCACGAGCAAAGCTGCAGGAGATGCCGAAGCTGCTGCTTGTGAGTCCTAGCCATCTAATTTAGCCCCAATACAGTACCCGGGGAGACTCTCAGCGATGGCAGTAGTCGCCGGAAGTCAGCATTTTAGGTCGCCAGAAGTGCGCAAATGACCTGTGACTGAGGCCCTGTTAGGGTGTTTTTGCGGCCACCATAATATGTGCCCGTTATTCTGAGGATAAACCATTTTTTTAAACTGATAATATCAGTGATATAATTATTATACTATTACTATCACTGGTGATATTATTATTTTAGTATAGTTAATACTACTACTATTATTATATCAGTTATAAATATAATAATAATATTAGGTACAAACGTACACTAGTTATTAGTACTAACACTAAAACTACTACTACTACTACTACTAGTTAACTAGGATGCTAGCAGATCATTTCCGTGAACACGTTCCTTAAGGGTTTAGCTATGAGGCTTGTAAACCGGCCGGCCTCCATTTTAATAGATTCTGTGCGATTTACACTTACGGACTCAATATATCGCAATAGCTGGCGTGAGAAGCGAAAACGAAAGAACCGCTCACTGTCTACTTTTCTGTGTACGCTGCCATCTTTGACAACACTGTGCCGTAAAGTGGTATAGCTAGCCGAAAATAAAATAGCTGTCGCAAAACAAATCTGCTAGCCGAAATTGCATACTTCATCATCTTCATCAGGTAGCAGGTCCTTTGCAGAACGTCGCTCTCATCACGTTCTGCCTGAAAGAAACTTACTTACTTCGCTATTATTAGCAGTCATCATCATCAAGTGCCTTGCCAGCTGGCGTAGGCGTTCATGCGACGCCACAGATCTCGGTCTTTGGTGTTCTGGGTCAATTCTGCTGATGATATTCCTCCATGCCACTACCTTAAGCCACCCACCATCATTTCTCTTGTCCTAGCACTGCCTTTTCTACCAGAGATCTTTTCTGTCGTCACGATATTTTCCAGTGCTGTTTTTCTCATTACATGACCAAAGAACTTTGTCTCCTTCTCATTGTTATTATTAGTAGTGTAAACATTAAATTTGTAGTGCGTGTAGGGATTTGGGCTCCGGGATTTGTCCCCATGAATAGGTGCCGGTACTTACCACAAAGTGTCTAAAACAGGAGCGGGTACCCACAACAAAGTGACGATTACAGAAGACGTGGTGAAAAGAAAATGCAGGGATGGGGGAGGGGGGGCGGGAGGGTGAACTGCGTGGTCTCGAGGCGTGACGTCCTCTAGTTAAAGAGGTCTCAGTTTCCGGCCCAGGTGAGGGCTGTGATGTTTTTACGTGGACTTATCGTAGCGAGCTATCTCAGAGGTCCGCGTTTTTATACACAGCTCTATTGGAGGTCATCGTTCTTGTAGATAGCACTCTCAGATGTTCACGTTTTTGTAGACAGCTTTCTCGTAGATCTGTGTTTTTGTGGACAGCCCTCTCAGAGGTCCGCGTTGTTTTTTTTTTTTTTTTGGACAGCTCTCATAGGTCCACGTTTTTTTTTAGACAGCTCTCATAGGTCCGCGTTTTTTAGACAGCTCTCTCAGAGGTCAGCGTTTTTGTAGACAGCTCTCGCAGGGGGTCCGCTTTTTTAACACCTCTATCGGAGGTCTGCGTTTTTGTAGACAGCTGTCTCAAAGGTCTGCGTTCTTGTAGACAGCTATCTCAGAGGTCCGCGTTTTTTAGACAGCTCTCGTAGGTCTGCGTTTTTTAGACAGCTCTCTCAGAGGTCAGCGTTTTTGTAGACAGCTCTCTCAGGGGTCCGTGTTTTTAACATCTCTATCAGAGAACCGCGTTTTTTTAGACAGCTCTCTCGTAAGTCCGTGTTTTAGTAGACAGCTCCCTCGGAGGTCCGCGTTTTAGTAGACAGCTCTCTCAGAGGTCCGCGTTTTTTTTAAACAGCTCTCTCGGAGGTCGTGTTCTTGTAGATAGCACTCTCAGAGGTCCACGTTCTTGTAGACAGATTTCTCGGAGGTCCGCGTTCTTGTAGACAGCTCTCTTGGAGGTCTGCGTTTTTGTAGTCAGTTCTCTCGGAGGTCTGCGTTCTTGTAGACAGCACTCTCAGAGGTCCACGTTCGTGTAGACAGACCTCTCGGAGGTCCGAGTTTTTGTAGAAAGCTTTCTCGGATTTCCGTGTTTTAGAAGACAGCTCTTTCGGAGGTAAGCGTTTTTGTAGACAGCTCTCTCAGAGGTCTGTGTTATTGTAGACAGATCTCCAATTCCCAATTCCAATTCGTCCAACAAAAATTTCAAATTTTTTTAATCCTTTTTCAGCCACCAGGAGGCCTGCTATATCGAGGAAGGTTCCTTAGCTGTCTTATGTGGTTTCCTTTTAATTGTGATGTGTAGTCACACCTGATATTACGGTTGTTTGCTTCCTTGCTGTGCTGCTTGTTGTCTTTTGGTCTGGTGTGGTCCAGATCTCTTTGTGATGGTATCTACGGGTATTAGCTGACTGTTGCTGGTGCTTGGCTTGCCTCGTGCTGGTCGCTGTGCTGGTGCCCTGTTGCTGCTTGGTTGCCGTTCTGTAAGCTGCCGGAAAAAAGCCAAACGAACATCGGTCCACGTCGTCATAAACAATGTTCCTTTTCAGGACAACCAGGGCCGTCACAATCTGTTGTTGTGATCAGCCCGTTTATTTCCCACGGAGTGTGGAGAAGTAGTGGAAGTAAGAAAGGCTGCAGATGAGAGATCAATTTGCTCGAATGTGCCAGTAGAAGTGTTAGTTAGGTCGGGAGAATGGGAGTGACAGATAGAGGTAGAATCCACCCTGGTCGATTGAGGTCTCTTGGTCTGAAATAAAAGTGAAAGGTATTTGTTAACATACACGTGGGGTGGGGTGGCATGATGGAGACTGGAAATCCCAAGTGCTGGTCCCCTTAGATGCAATGCCCTCGGCTATCTGCTCCGGAGCGTCGGGTGGCCTGTGGTAGTTTCCGTGGTCTTCTTTTTCCTGAAAATATACTAGGTTAAGATTTTTGGTTAGCTCTATGGTAATTACGTGGTTATTTGCGGAGCGGGTGGGTGTGACTCCGGTTGCGCGAATGTCTGTCTGGTTGGTGGTTGTTTGTTTTGGGCTGTCAGTGAAGATGGCGGCTTCTTTGGTGGGCTCCTCTTGTGGCTCTTATAATTGGCGGTAGCCTTTTCTCTTGGGTGTGCCATTTTTCCACTGCTTTTTCTTTGGCGCCCGGAGCTGGTTTCGGGCTGCGTTGATCTAGTCGCAGAGACGGTGAACTTCATCTCCGTATTCCTCAAATGAGAAGTCGACTACGTAGCGGCCACATTCGTCGATATACAACAGCCTGTGCGGAACCACTTGCTTGTTGTAATCTTCAAGCCTCGCTAGAAGGTCGGCCTGGCAAGTTATTTCGGTTGCCGCGTTCTGGCTTTCGCGTGGGGTGGCTGGCTGCCTAGTAGATGTTTTGTCGCTTCGTTCTTCGATTGTCGTGGCATCTGTCATCTGTGCCTGGTGCTGCGTCATTACCGCTTCGGTGATTGTGCTTTTGTCTGCCTTGCTGGTACTTGGTTGCTTTACAACTTTGCTGTAGGCCTCTCTTTTTTTTTCTAGCAGGACACGCTCCGTTCTTGCCGCCAGCACTGCAGCTTCGGCTTCTGCCTTTGCTTGGATCATGAGGGCGACTTCTTTATAAGTGCTTTCTCGGGCTTCCTTGAGTGCTTCGGTTTCCTTTCTTCTCTTCTCCCTTTCTTCTTGTCGGCGGGTCTCGTCTGCAGCTTTTTCTGCTGGAGATTTAGGGTCATTTCTGTCAGGTTTTTCTGCATTTGTGCAGCCTCTGCTAGCCACTTTGTTTGCTGCGAGACTTGATCTGGTCTGTCGTCTTTCAAGGCTTTGATTTCGTCACGCAACTGCGAAATCATGTCTAGCAACTTGGGTTCTGTCAGCGTTGGTATCGGTAGCGTCAGACCTTTCTTTGTGGAGAGCTCTGATTTCAGCTAAAATTTTAGAAATTAGTAGCGAGATTTCAGGGTCCTTTGTGGCTGTGATCGCCTTGTCGGTTCGTCTGTCTGATGTCCGTTGTGCTGGCTTCCCACTTGGTTGCTTTGGTGCTACTAAGGACCTGGCTGCCACGTATCTCGGGCAACCCATGTATCTCGCGCCGTGCGCACCGGAACAGTTGGAGCACTTGCGGTTGCTGTTCGGCTTCTTGAAATTGGTGTCAATTTTGGCTAGCGGGCACTCCGTGAATTCGTGCGCACCAGAACAGTATCTTCACGATAAGCTGCTGCGGCAGGACGAGGCTGTATGCCACGCCCTATTGTAGAGTGAGCACTGCATGATGTCTGGTGTGTTGGCCTCAGGCTGCTGCTGCTTTCGTAGGCGAGGGGGTCCCTGCGTCGCTACCGAGGCTGCATCAGGCGATCTGAAAGGTCGGCTCCCGGGGGAGCGGCCCTCTGTGCTGGTGATTCTGGTGTTTCAGTCGTTATGGGCGCAGTTTCCATTTTCTACGGTAATTGTAAAAGTTCTCGAATTTATTTAGAGGTTGAACGCACGCCCTAGGTTTCGGTTTTAAAAAAGTTTATAATGTAGATTATAATTACCTAAGGCGTTGTTCCTTCCTCTGGTGATTCTTGGCTACACTGGTCACCGGTGTAGATCTTTGCTGCTGGTAGTAATCGTTTGGCTAGGTGAATACACGGGCTGCTAATGACCCAAACGCAGCCGACCCCGATAGCTTAGTAGGGACAGACTCAGCCGAATATCAAGCGAATCTGTTCAGTAGCTAGCTATCGAGAATCAGGCAACGAATGGATAGTTAGCGGGCGACGTGGTGAGGCGAGGCGGGCTTGGGCGTTCAACGTCTTGCTCGAGCGAAGGCAGTCAGCGGAAAGATTGATTGTGGACAATAAAAATTGAATTAGACAGATCTCTCGGAGGTCCCCGCTCTTGTAGACAGATCTCTCGGAGGTCTGCGTTCTCCAGACAGCTCTCTCGGAGGTCAGCGTTCTTGTAGACAGCTCTTTCGGAGGTCTGCGTTCTCCAGACAGCTCTCTCGGAGGTCCGCGTTCTTGTAGACAGCTATATCAGAGGTATGCGTTCTGACATGTGGTCTAGTGGTTAGGATTCCTGGCTTTCATCCAGGCGGCCCGGGTTCGATTCCCGGCATGGGAACATAAGTTTAGCAAACGCCAAAAAAAAACCGCGTCGCCATCTTCCAGGAAAAACCAGCCCGCCAAACGAACGACGCCAGCACGCCACCAGATCCCGACAGCAGAAGCCAGACCCCACCCATCCCGTTCCAGGCCAACCAGGCACATATGGCTGTCCTTTTCAGGACTGCCATTTCCAAATTCCAAAACCTGCAAGCCGCCCGCCAAGCCCACGCTGCTGACAAGTTGCAACCAACGAAAGAAAACTCAGGCGAAAATCATCGCCGCAAAAGTAAGAAATCAAGCTCAGTTAGCAAATGACTCGTCCTTGAAAAAACAGGCCATCAGGTAGTTAAAAAAGTACAAAGTTTGAGATCTTTTTGAGATTAAACATGTGCCAAATAAAAAATTAAAAAAAAAATTAAAAAAAAGTTTGAGATCTTTCTTTTCTTCTAACGAACGGATGCGTTCTGAAGCCCCACTCTGGCTTTTGCCAGGGGCCGTAATATAGGCAGGCCAATTGTCTGAACGCGGTTTCTGGGACTTCTCCACGGTGATCCTCATCCGCATGGTGGCACTTTGTGTCATCGGGTGTTTATCGCTTCTGAAATGTCCTGGTGGGGTAGAAAGTCAGTCAGTCATGCGTTCTTTTAGACAGCTCTTTTAAAGGTCCACGCTTTTGTAGACAGCTCTCTCTCTCGGAGGTATGCGTTTTTGCAGAAAGCCCTCCGTTGTTCCTCTGTATGTAGCATAGAATGCGATTGTCATGATGAAAATTATCAGTATATTTTTTATAGAGAGCAAGAGCTTGAACCCGAGTCTGTGGACAAGAATATTTCAGTGTTCACAAAAGATGTATGAGAGCTACAATGAGATTTTACCATTCATTGCACGAACAAAAAGCATACCACCTTAGTGAGAGCAGAGGCTAAGGTGAGCCGTTACATTTAGTCTGTAATGACGCTACCCTGTGGTCTGGCTCATGTTGTTTCAAACTGAAAGAGGAGTATTGGACAGTCTCTGTGAAGAAATGTTTCTTATGTGTGGAGAGTCGGGCTGGCTGTCTCTAAGATAGAACTGTATGATTGGAATACTGGAAACTGGGGGGGGGGGGGGGGGGGCTTTTATTCAGCAGATATAAAAGGAGCTGTGTTGCAGAGCATGGTTATATATTTTTGCCGTCCTTTTTAGGATGGAATTTTTCGTCATTTGAAGCCTTACTCTGCTCTTGCCAGGGGCCGCAATATAGCCCGGCCATAAATATGGCCTAAAGGCTGAACGAGGTTTCTGGGACCTCTCCACGGTGATCCTCATCCACATGGTGGCACTTTGTGTCATCGGGTGTTTATCGCTTGTGTGATGTCCTAGTGGGGTAGAAAGTCAGCCAGTCAGAGCATGGTTTCTAAAAATATGATGGAGCGGAAAGGGGGGGGGGAGGGGGGGGGTGAACTCGAAGAAAGAGAAGAGAAAAAAAAAAGAATAAGAATTAAAGAGAGGGAGCTTAAAACGTGTGATGATAAAGACTAGAAATGTGAGATAGACATAATCTGTTTGTACTGTTAGTTATCACGATGTTACGTATTCAGCAGAATGATATGGAAACTATTATCCTAGTGTTCAGTAAAACACTTTATAAAGTACAGTTCATGCAGAAGTATTATCTGTACGTTAGATAAACTGGCCTCGACTTTAAACGGTAATCAGTTCTTTGAACTAAATGTGTTACATAATTCACAGACGTCATTAAAGCGGTGCTGTTACACAAGGAAGGTAATACATTTCATCATCATCATCTTTTTCTTGTTCTTCTTTTTCTTGTTCTTCTTTTTATTCTTCTTCTTCGTTTTCTTCTTCTTCTTCGTCTTTGCGTTCACCGGTTGTTAACCCCAGTAAAAAGTCTTGATTGTTCATCCACCTCCGAACTTTAGTCTTGTTCCAGAATTGAGAGTTGGATGTGCATCCGTTTACAGATCTTGCTTATTGCTATGCAGACTGTTGGTTTCTTGCCTCCCATGCAGACGTGCTCCAAATTCAAAGGATTCTCCCAGTCCGTCGACTTCTACGACGTTAGTTAGTTGTTGCCGTGGGTTTGTTCTTGCCCCACCTCCCCTCCCACAATAGGGCCCCGGAAAAAAAATGGAAAGGTAATAATCCGAAATATTATGTTTATTTAATTTTTGTTTGCAGTGGGGTTAGAAACAATTTAGTCTGTCTGATACGGAAATGAACAAACTCAAGATACATTTTTCTCCTCTGGTCACTATGTGCAACTCTACCGGCTTGGAACATTTTCTGCATTCTACTGATCTGACACCACATTAAAACATTTTCTGCATTCTTTCAATTTGAATATCTTAGAAAATGCTCTGTGCTCTAGTGATCTATCGCTGTATTTGATCCCTCTTTCCTTCCGTTGATCTTACACCGTCTTGCATTCTATTTATCTATCGCCGTCTCTTTTCCTGTCCCGGGGCAACATATCGGCACTAAAAGGGCAGGTTCTATAGCCACTTATCGTCACTAAAAGGGTTCGTTCCGTGACAAAATATGGACAGCAGAAAAGTAGGTTTCATGGCCACAGATCAAGACTGAAAGAGCAGCAGCTCAGAGATGCTGAGGATGTCACCAAATCAGCACTAGGGGTAGACTGTTGTCGGTGGCTCAAATAAAACCCAACAGTTGAACTGGGTTTTTGTGACCTGTGGCGGGAAAGAAGGTTTTGTGAGACAGTGAGGCATCAAGCAAATTTTGAAATTGGGTGCATTTGTATTTATAATAATCCGTTATAGAATTGTTTTTACTGTTTCATTATAAATCAAATGTGCTTCTCAGTGTTTTCATCCTATCTCGATGGCTGCGAGTTTTGGTCGGGATATCCTGGAGAGTTCCCTGGAATGTCCTAAAGTATGGGAAGTGAGCGGAGGAGGGGGTGCGGTTTAGGAATAGGGTTAGTGTTAGTCAGTGTTCATTTAACACACCCCGAAGGCTTTTTTTTTAGGACCCACCCTCAGTTGTCTCCAATTCGCATCACACTGGCTAAGGTCTGTGCAAAAGACACAGCTGTTTATGACGAACTTTACAGGACGCTTAGTGGATTACAGAATACAGTGAAGTTCATACTAGAGAAGACACTACGGATATAAATCATTTATTTCGAGCGAACAAAGGAAGAAGAAGAGAAATCTAACTTTCCGGGGAACTCCCTAGAAATTCTTTACTAAATCTTGGAGCTCCCGAGATGGGGTTAGTTGCGTATCCTTTACAGGACGTTGCAGAACCAACCCCAGCACTTTCTGACTGTTGTGGTTTTTCTTGGCAAATTTACGTACAGTAGTTTGCCATTGTTTCTGGATGGTCAGCTCTCGGTACCACGGTCGAAACCACCTGAAGACAAACCGTCCGCAGCGGTTTCATCCCACAGTGGGACGATTTCATCACACAGCGGGACGATTTCATCACACAGCGGGACGGTTTCATCCCACAATGGGACGGTTTCATCCCACAGTGGGACGATTTCATCCCACAGCGGGACGGTTTCATCCCACAGCGGGACGGTTTTATCCCACAGCGGGACGGTTTCATCACAGAGTGGGACGGTTTCACCCCACAATGGGACGATTTCATCACAGAGTGGGACGGTTTCATCACACAGTGGGACGGTTTCATCACAGAGTGGGACGGTTTCACCCCACAATGGGACGATTTCATCACAGAGTGGGACGGTTTCATCACACAGTGGGACGGTTTTATCCCACAGTGGGGCGGTTTCATCCCGCATTGGGACGGGTTCATCGCACAGTGGGGCGGTTTCATCCCACAGTGGGGCGGTTTCATCCCACAGTGGGGCGGTTTCATCCCACAGCGGGACGACTTCATCCCACAGCAGGACGGTTTCACCCCACAATGGGACGATTTCATCACAGAGTGGGACGGTTTCATCACACAGTGGGACAGTTTCATCACAGAGTGGGACGGTTTCACCCCACAATGGGACGATTTCATCACAGAGTGGGACGGTTTCATCACACAGTGGGACGTTTTCATCACAGAGTGGGACGCTTTCACCCCACAATGGGACGATTTCATCACAGAGTGGGACGGTTTCATCCCACAGCAGGACGATTTCATCACAGAGTGGGACGGTTTCATCACAGAGTGGGACGGTTTCATC